AATCAGACGCTCTATAATCCCGCGAAAGTATTGCCAAAATTCGTCTGAATCTTCTGTGTTGACCAACCAGGCTTCCTCCAAAAGAGTGCGTCTCATTGCGTTAAAGTCACTCTTCCAAATATTTCTGCGCATCTTGATTTTCGGTTGTTGGTTGGATAGGAGAGAGCACACGCAGGTAAAAGCAATATGATCGCTTAAACCGAGTGGAGGTTGTGGAGTAACTTCCTTTATGAGTCCTTCTTCTTTACTGAAAACGAGATCTAAACAGTTAGATCGTTGTCCTTCTCTCATTCTTGTTCCGAATTTTATGTGCTGAATGAGGTATTCATTCAGGGAGAGTTGAAGTAGCTTGTGGTCAAATGACGTGGACGTTAGACCTGGTCTGGAATACTGTTCCTTTTTATTTAGCCTCATGCGTGCTACTGAGCGGAAGAAAATAGAATCCGTTCAACACTTTTTTACCAAGAGAATTTTAACCCCAGAACACCGACATTTGTCTTACCAAGAACGTTGCCGGCTTACAGGCCTCGATCCTTTATGGTTCCGTAGATTACAAAAGGGACTATTTTTGCTATTTAAACTCTTACATAATCAAATATTTAACCCACTCACTTCTTTAAGACATCATATCCACCCACGATGTAACAGTCACCGTGAGGTCTTCTTATTTCTGCCTCTGGCACGTACTGTTAAATATCGTCGGTTCTATTCTGTAAATGCAGTTGCTATTTGGATTAAACTACCAATGAGTGTGAAATTATCCTTTATTTAAGAGAACTATTACTCGATTTTTGCATTCAGAAAAGCTCCCACAAATTTTGGGTGTCGAAAACTCTGATCGACTGTACCGTAGCGATGGCGTTTGTGGTCTCTTAACACTATGGGCTGGTTCACCAGCTGTTCCTCAACGCCTCTACTTTGACTATCCCCAACTTCATGAAAGGAATTGACTTTCAATAATCTCCGATACCGTGCAACCCCCTCCCCCCTTCTTGACGGTCGAAAATCTACCGCCAGCAGTTTTTTTCTCCTGAACCCTCCAAACCATAAAAACCAACACCAACTACATTTTTATTCTTCAGGAGTTTTTTTTTCACTGCTGGTCGGATTTGTGTTTAATCGCTTCCCTTGACAATGCCTGTAAACTGGCATTTAATAAATCAAATTTAATATCTGAAGACCCTCTACGCCTATTCCGTAAAGGCCACATTTTCGAAGCTCATTCAATTTTTTTCGGCGATTCTGAATGGAACCGATAATGGGTTTACGAAATGATCTCTACACTGCTTTCGTGGATTTTTAAGTCTATTTCTTAGACGGTGCAGGACAGTATAAGAAGCGCCACTTGATTTATACGCCTCAACGGAATGAAATCGGGAAGACCTTCTATTACGCACTGCAATAAATCGGGGAAAAATTCGGATCGTTATTTAAAAAAATATTGTACTAACCGAGAGTGCTCGTAACGTTATTTACTAAATCCTTGTTAGCCTTAGCATGACCAAAATGGCTACACTTTAGTGCTGGCTTTAGAGAAGTGGATATTAGAAGACAAGAATGAATTGATCCATGATTACGTGTAAAAAGGTCTCGATGGAAATCCATGGACAAAGAGTGCATGCCGTTAATAAAAATTAATTCTAACAAACTAGATTTTCTGGTCGATAAGTGAATTAAATTGAATCAGTTCGAAAAGGTTAACGAGGCCAAATATATGGAAAGGGGACTTTTGCCAAATGAAAGCTGAGGCGTCACAAAAAGACGGGGATTTTTTTTCTCCGGAAACTTTAGCGAAGACTGGAATTTATTTAAGGGTCGGTTGCTGCATCTAATGAAGACCCACTGTCCCTTATCAAAGTCTACGACATTCACCCGATCTTAGAGGCTAACGCTAGATCTCAAAAAGGAGATCAACAAAAAAGGTAGGTCGTGGAAGAATTTTTGCGAAAATAAAGACAGTTCAGAGTTTAAAGGGTATAAAGTTCAAAGAAATATGGTAAAAAGCCTGATTTCCAAGAGACAACGGGATTTGAAGAGAAATTTGCTCCACCAAGCCGTTAAAAATCCGGAATTGTTCAATAGCTATTTGTGAAAGAGCACTCGTAGCAGGAATCCCATTCCTGTCATGAGGAATGATGACGGTTTGGAGATATCCGACAGTACAAATAAGGCTGAGCATTTTTCCCAGTTTTCCTATCTGTTTTCACAAGAGAAGCAGACTTTATTCCATCTAGTTCTGAGAACATGGGAGATCCCACTATTGAAAATATTGTTTTTCGAGAAGAAGCGATTTTGGGAGAACCAAAAAGCTTGAAGGAATGAAAATCTTTCTGTCCGACGAGATCCTAGCAAAGCTACTCTTTGAGCTTGCCCGACAACTGGCCAAACCACTATCCTTTCTGTGCCAGAAATTGTTTGATGTTGGAATCCTTCCCGCAGACTGGAAGACGGCCTCCATTACAGCGCTTTACAAAAGCGACAGTCGTGCTCTTTCAAAGAACTACAGACCCGTCAATCTGACATCAGTCTGCTGAAAAGTGATGGGGAAAACCTTCAGAAAGGAGTTGATGACTTATTTGGAAACCAGCAACCTCTTGTTCAATGCACAATAGGTTTTTGTAGGGGAAGATCATGTGTAATGAAGATGCTATACGCAAATCAAAGTTGGACAAAAGCACTGGATGCAAAACACACTGTGCATGTGGTCTATATTAATTTCCGGAAAGCGTTCGATAGTGCTCTCACCAGAGTCTTCTGTAAAAGTTGAGAGTGACGAGTGTCGGCGGCGAACTTCCCAAATGGATCGAAAATTTCCTCGCCGGACATTCCTAAACAGTCTGCGTAGAACAACAGCAATCAAGGCGCACATTCACAGAGAGTTGAGTCCCTCAAGGCTCAGTGCTCGGACCGATCCTCTTTCTTTTGTTCATAAATGATTGTGTAGATGGGTTGGACTGTGATAGTGCCATATTTGCAGATGACATAAAGATCTGGAAAGTCATTCACACTGTTGTCGACGAGAAGACTTCCAAGAAAATCTTCGTCGACCGGACGAGTGGTCCCGCAGATGGCTCTTGTCCTTCAATTTGGACAAATGTACCATACTGCGCCTCGGAAATCATATCTCTAGTACTCGGCAATACCATCTGAACGGAATGCCATTCCGAGAAGCAGAAACGCAGAAAGATCTCGGAGTCTGGTTTGCAGACAGCCTAAAGCCTTCTACAAAATGTTGTAAGGCGGCCAAGGCAGCAACTTCAATGCTATATGCCATCAAGCGGGCATTCGCAGTTTTCGACGAAGACTGCTTCTGCAAAGTATTCGGTACGCTTGTAAGGCCGCATCTCGAATATGAAATCCAGACCTGGAGACCGTGGATGCAGCAAGATTTCCTTGTAGGAGTGCGGGGAGGAGCAACAAAATTAATAAGAGATCAAGGTGCACTGCTATACGAGACTCGACTAACGAACCTTAATCTTTATCCTCTGAGTTATAGGCAGTTGCGCGGGGACTTGATGCAAACTTTGGGTACCGTACGTGGCTTGGACTACACCCTCCGGCGCGACGACGTTTTCAAACTCGCCACTACAAATAACCTCCTGGGAAATCCCTTCAAACTATGTGTGCCCGAAGATACATTGAATTTCAGAAAGTATTTCTTTGCCAACCGTGTCGTGGAGCCGTGGAATAACCTGCCCGAGATGATTATTACGTCTCAATCCGCGGAGAAATTTAAATGTCGGCTTGACAGACATATGCTGCAGCAACAAGCGGACTATGCGACTTTGGAACTATAAAACCAGTGACCTATGTATGCCGAATTATGCTGAAATGCATGCAATTTATTTCAGTTTATTTGGTAAGGATACTAGGCAAGGCCCTTAAGAACCCTCTTTACTACATGTCAATTAGTCAGGTACAACTACACACGCATGGTGAGAAACTGTCAGTAACAGTGTTGTCTGCATGATTTAAGTAGTATTGCTTATAAACACAAACTTTTGGGGTCCTTGAAGTATTCAGCTCAGGTTCAGACTGTCGAGGAAAAACAGGGGACACATAATCATCTAAGCGTCGCTCGAAGAGCTGTAAAGCTGAAGAAAAAGACACGATAGCTGGGACAAGAGCCTTATTCGCCTGACGTTTCGGATTCCTGCTCGAACCGCCGTTATCATGCTTTCTAGTCCCCATGGCCGTGGTCGCCCACACAACCATCTGTCTAGCATCCAGGCCGTGGATTTCGGTCATCCTGACGTATGCAAACACACGCTTCAGCCTCCTGTCCTAACGTATAAATACACTGTGCGACATTATCGTCATCAGATGGGATGATATGTCTTGGGAAAGATTCCTTAAAACAGTTTATCTTTCTTAGAAGTACTGCTTTACCCACTGTTCGCTTGATAATTATCTACCACATTTTAGCTCTCTTGAGTTTGTACGGCTTCTAACATAGGGCATTTTCCCAAATACCATTACTCCGCCCATTTTATTTTGTCATTTATTCAGGAATACTAGAACTGTTGCGTCGTATTTTGTCCAAAGCTGAAGTAGAGGCCGTTTTCGTTTAATTTCTTAAATAATTTGAAGTTACTTCCACTACGCTTCTACCGTTTATGAATTCACACCCTTAGCATTAGTCACCGCCGGCACGTTCATTCCTCAGTTAGGATTCTTATGAGCAATCTTTTCGAAGAATCGTGCTGGTATAATTTCAGTGATAGAATAACAACCACACCCTTAATCTTCAACAGTTGAATCCACCTAAAGTGGTCATCAGCCTGTTGTCGAAGAACATGGGCTTCTCTTTTTCCATATTTTGTCCAATTCTTTCTTTAAAAAAGTATTGGGTCACGTCGAAGCCGTAGACATTAGGAAAGAAGGTATAAGAAATCAGTGAGTTTTTTTGCTTATATGTGCATTTGTTTTAACGGTCAGCGCGGCCCTGGCACTTTCGTGTTTGTGTTCCATCGCGGTTTGACTCCTCTGACGCCGGGAAAATGAGCGAGGGTGGAAAGACGTTCAAGGAGCTATCTTTCGCCGAGAATTTTATCCTCAGTGGGACTGCGGCCGTCATTGCCAAGACGGCATCCGCGCCCATTGAAAGGGTCAAGTTGATGATCCAGAATCAGGGTGAGATGCTCAAACTGGGCACTTTGGACAAACCTTATAAGGGCGTTATCGACTGCACCGTCCGTACTTTCAAGACCGAGGGTATGTTGGCAAATGAGCATTCTGAACTCCTCCTGCAGGCCTGCTGCCCTTCTGGCGTGGAAATCTGCCAAACTGCCTCCGTTATTTCCCAACACAGGCTCTGAATTTCGCTTTCAAGGATAAGGTCAAGGCAATGGTCCATCCGGAAAAGACTGACCCATATGCCGTCGCTTTCGGCAAAAACATTGTTAGCGGTGGTATTGCCGGCGCTTTGTCGCTTGTCTTCGTCTACTCGCTGGATTATTGCCGAACCCGTCTTTCCAGCGATGCCAAGTCCGCTAAAAAGGGCGGTGCCCGCCAGTACGACGGCATGATTGACTGCTACAAGTATGAATATCTATTTAATTATTTAATTCGCTTAGGAAGACCTGGAAGTCTGACGGTATTGTGGGTCTCTATCGCGGCTTTGTCATTTCTTGCATCGGTATCATGGTGTACAGAGGCTTCTACTTCGGTCTCTATGATACCATCAAACCCATCATGCTCGGCGAAAATGCGGGTGTCACCATCAGTTTCCTCCTTGGTTATGGTGTTACTGTCACTGCTGGTCTTATGTCCTACCCCATTGATACTATACGACGACGAATGATGATGACTTCAGGTGCGTTTCATGAAAATTGAATTACCGCATTTCTAGGTGCTGCTGTTAAATACAAGGGATCGATCGACTGCGCCCTTCAGATCTGGCGGCACGAAGGTCCCATGTCTTTCATGAGAGGTGCTGGCGCCAACATCCTCCGTGGCGTTGCTGGAGCCGGTGTGCTTGCTGGCTTTGACAAATTCAAGGAGATGTACGTCCACTACAGAGTCTCAAAACCGAAGGCGTAAAGTCCAACCGCATCTCACACTGGAGTTTTTTAAAACGTGTTAAGTAGTTAGAGTGGTGTCCTGTGGAACTGCGATCGACCTCTTGTACATTTCTTCGAAGTCCGTCATTTCAGCATTGACTTCGGTCGCTCGTTTTAAAGTAGGAGTTTTGTAATCACTCGGGTTTTTTATCAGACACTAGGAACCGCATAAAAAATCCCGTGAAAATAAACTCTCGGTGGATCATTTTCTCGCTTATTCTTGTTGGTGGGTATTACTAGCAGCAGGAAACTCCCGAGTCTTCGCACATGCGGACGCAACGTTCCCTATCACTTGTTTTCGCCCGACGAAGTGGTGAAACCAAAACGGCCACAGTGGACGTCCTAGGGAGTGACCAGCTTTCAGAATGCATAATGTCTAGAGGATCTGAGCCCCGTGATGCCCGGTAGAATGCCTATGACTCCTGAGGTAGTACAGACTTGCGCAGCTTATTTTTTTTATCTGGTTCTTCCGATGCTTTCTCGGTTGTATGTCTTCTAACCTTTTTTAAAGTCGACTTCCTAGGATCGCTTCTTCGTAGCATGGTACGTCGGGTTCGGAGCATGCGAGTTCGAAGGTTAACTAGTGAAAGATATAATGAGGCGGCAAGCACGTCACCCGTGTGGCCTGTTTTTGGTGGCCGTTGTCAACTCCCTTTTGGCGGGCTTTAGGGTTCGCAGTTTTGTTAACCAACGCGTCTGATCCTTTTTTCAGTGAACTTCGATTAAGCACCTCACCCCTCATCTATATACTACTTGACCTAGGTATCTGATATTCCTTAACCACACTTATTGAAATGGCTGCAGTCAGGACTAGTAGTACTTGGCCATGCATGAGCGACGCAGTCGTTGCAGAGCGTCACTAGTTTCGTGTAGGCTGGTGCCAGTTGATTTCGTACCGGTAGGGGACTTAACCTCGAGATGATCGCAGACAGCGCCTCAGCTGAATCAAGGGACGTGTTAGTCGCCTTTGGCGAATTGTAGCACCTTCGCATTTTCCGATCAGAGGTCAACAGGCGCCTGGAAGACCCGGCTGAGCAATTCCGAGTTCATAGGCCTAGTGGTAAAGGCCGTGAAGGAATTCTTTTGTTAAATCATGTCAGTGTGCTCGCGCTTCAGGCGTTACCGTCCTCCGGCATGGAGCCTGGCCGAGAATCTGCGTATGGCGTGACGAGCGGTGTTCACGTCTATGGCTTTCCAAATCAGGTACTGACTTCGACAGCGGCCGAAGTCCACCATCCTGCACTGCCAGTTTTTTGCCTGCCGTAGGCGCATTTACCACGAACTCGAGCAGTGGTATTTGCGGGCAGCCGGAGCCTGTCCTTGGTTGGACAGCTGCCTCGGGGATGGTTTCCCACATCCACTGGCGGATTCATTTCTGGCAAACCGCCACCTTTAAAGACTGGGGGTCCCTTTGGAGGCTTTGTTGCCAGTTCATGCTAAAGTGGTTGCTAATTGGGTCCTGAGGGGAGGGGAGCGGCGGTTTAGATACGCATATTTCCCATTCGCAAAACCTAACCATGCCCTTAGGTACTGCCCTGGTGTGGGCATGCTACCGGGTACAGGTGTGGACTAATTAGAGTTAACACTTGCGATCCCGACGATTATGGATGCGTGCGGACCTACTGCTGTTTACAACGCATACGCCAGTGATCATTCATCAAACCGGTCTTGGTGCCGCGAGTCGCGCTTCCACGCATGGGTCCTCGCGGCAGTAGATCTGGGCTGCTCAGTCCATTCTCTCCTTCAGTGACGGAGACCAAATACCGAAGGTCCAGAAACCACTTTGTTGCGTCAGGTCTTGGGTTAACCCCGTCTCCGATTCCTCCAAATGATCGGCGACGTCGGATCGAGTGTGTCAGCATTTAGCCCACGGGCGGGCAATGGAGAACGTGACAAAACCACCTCAGTTTTCTTCGATTCACCAGGGTATCTCCCCTATATCTCATCCGAGAGGGAGTCTGTGACTTTACCCAGTGGATAGTTCTGAGGCAACTGTGGCCGAACAATTCGGTTCTATCCTCATTTTCCACGCGTACAGTAAAGCATTTAAGGCTGTGTGGGGTGCTGGCATAGCGCACGGTCGACAGACGCGGGTCGTCGTGGCAGTTAAGGTATCGCGTTGGGTCCACAGAATGCTTTTGTGGACTGGGGACTCCACGAGTAGCGTCGATTCGAAGGACGATGTAGTCCTTTGCTTGTCCTTTTGACACCGACTTGGCCCTGGGATCCTTGAACTCTCACTCTCCAGGGTGCCTTCCCCATCTGGGAGATAAGGATCGAAAACACTGGTTATCCAAGCGTTTATGGATAAACCGGCCCGTCCGACGGCCACACTCCCTCCAGCCAACACACTTTGTGGGACATTGAGGCATGACGCCAGCAGACCAGTACTGTTAGCGTAGTCAAGATCAGACCATTGACACCCCTGTGCAAACACGACACCGTCAGAGCCCCGTAGAACTCGGAGGGTTCAGTCGGTGGCGTAGTTGGATAGGACGGAAGGCAGAACACCGTTTCGAACGTCAAGCCGATTATCAGACCGCCGGGAGATATTTCTATAGCCCCGAACGCTTGTAATAGCAGAGCGATGGTAGGCGTTGATGACGGCGGTAGTTTTTTTGTCGGCGTGTTATCCGCCACAGGGGCTCACGATGGGCGGAGTCGAACTCTGCGACTCAGTCAGCTAAGCAGACTGCCCTTGGTTGTCGTTAGGCCTCATCCTGGAAACACGCGCACTGGAACCGCTTGAGAATGACCGCGGCGTGGACCTAGGCAGCAGCGTCGATGAGTCTTTGTTTTGCCTCCCTTTTCGAAGACGGCCAAAAGGGTGGCATAGCCTGTCATGAGAAACGAGCTCGTCTCCCCGCGCTTACTGAACCACTTAGTGGAGCCACTGCATTCTGTCATGTGGCTTCCTTAGTGTACCGGCGATTCCCTTGAAAAGGGGGTCACACGACACTGCATAGACTGGAAGGGATGAAACTCAGCTACGGCATGGGAAGAGGGTCGAATCAGTAAAGGCACACGAAGTGCAGGTCAGCGCCTAACCTTGACTGAGTTGTTATAAACAAAGCGCCACCCACATTGAGAAGGCATTCACTGAGTGTAAAGGGCGTGTGTAGAGGCTCGGAGTATCACCGATGTCTGAGACCTGCGGTCGTCTCAGGACGATTCTGCCGTTGTCATCCGCAGTTGGCGGGAAGGATAATCGTTGTGAGATATAGTCTGAGCTGTTTGGCCGGATAAGTATGAGGTCTTTGGGCCGATCCAGTCACCACGACGATGCTTGATGAATCCGAGAACTCTCTCAGCTGCCTCTCGGACTGGTGATTTCAACGACGGGCGTCAGCTTCTATTCGGCTGCAAAGCAGGGCCGGATTTTTGCGCTCAAAGCCTCGGCCGTGTGGGCTCTCGCAGTTTGGCGACACGAAGGCGCACTGCAAGGGGGACTTTTTGGTGCAGTCGAAAGGTGAATTTCCAGGCATGTGTAAGGTAGAACATGTTTTGATACGTAGACGTTGCCAACCCCGGCACCACACATTGTTTTACCACTATGAGCACAGAAATGACACCCTGGGGTCTGTAAATCCGACTGACCGTACGACCACCGTTTGAATACGAGGTCGGCAGATGTTTGCGGCGATGCTGAAGGCGCATGTGCTGTCAATCAGCTGGGGAAGGTCCAACATTCATCAAGCTCAGAGCGGCCTGTAAGGTTACTGTTCGAAGTGTCATCTGGCCACTTCCGTTCTCCGACAGTTATCAACAGATCGTGGTGAGGGAGGTTTTTAGCTAATTCGTGCAGTTGCGAGTAGAGGGTATCTGTATCACGCTGGTCGACGATTGGTGTTGGTACGTACTCGGAGATGGCAGAAATGTTAGAAAAGTGAATCAGCCGGTCAATGGTTCTCACACTAGCAGTGCAGGCCTCGTCACACCGTGTCCGCCAGAAAGGCCCTATGGATTGCTGTGGTGTCGAGCCAAGTGTGACTTGACCCATCGGAGGCTTGATTTACTGAGCGTCAGACAGACAGTGAACATGCGCATTGTGCTGGGGGGAAGACTACGCGTGCTCATACTGGGTACCAGAGTCCAGAAGCATTTGCGCATGCAAGCTCCGTCTTCGGTGGGGTAGTCCAGCTCGCGTACTATTCGGTCGCACCACTAGATCATGGCTACGGAGCGCGTCGGTTCCCGGCGGACTTTTTGAATGCGGGCAGGTCCCCCAAGGCCTCTCGGATTATTTATTCGAGATCGTCCCTTCAAGAGCCTGATCAGGAGGCGATGGTGGCAAGTAAGTCCTCGTAGTGGCGCCTTGTGATCACCGTGCCCCATCATGCGAGTAAGGGCTAAGTAAGGGCGTTTCAGTATACGAAGTCTCCTCTCTTCGGACGTTTAATCTTTTTAGGGTTCATGGCGGTCTGCAACGCCAGATCGGGGTCAAGGTAGACCTTTAAGCCCACAATTTTCGGTTAGCGGGTTATACAAGAGATTGTTCTCGAAACTGGTGTGACCTTAGAAACAGTACTGACTTTGCCGTCTTAATGCGCACGGACTGTGTCGATTATTCAACAAATTACTTAATACGGTTGCCCGCCATCTGTGTGTAAAATATTTGTCATCAGAATCCCACCAGAACAGTCTACAGGCTGGAAGCCAGCGAACACAACCCAGTAAACGCAGTAAGCACAGCATGCCTCTTGAAACTCCGCCTTTCACATGGGGTTGGCCTTACTGTCACGATAGCTGAAGACGAATCACTTGGTCGTCTCCAGTTCGTAGACGTTCCTCCGACCGTCGGTGCTGGCACAAGCGTTTGCGAAGTCTCCACGCCCTTTAATCGCTCCTTGGTGCCCGTCATGATGCGTCGAGTTTGGGTCGTTACCGAAAGGTTCGTGTGGCCTCGCATGAACAAAGATGCCAAGGTGTGGGCAGGTGCGATTGTGAGTTGCCGGCGGATCCATTTGCGGCGCCGCTCCA